AGCAACTGCAGGCCTCACTAAGCTCCTGGGCGGAGACTGAAAATTCACACTGTTCGAACAGTGAGGATAATAAGGGTCTCCTTTGCTTATCGGGTAATATTTTTTAGGAATATCCTTTTCCATGACATCCATCTTCCGCACTAGTTTGTGCTATGTAAACTTCACCAGTGCCCATCCCCAATGATTTAGATGCCGTCCCATCGTGTTACTCGGCAGGGCGTCCTCAATGCCTTCATATTTCAGTTTATGGGATCAGTGTAGTCCACTGAGCCCTATTCACCCAACAGACACGGATAGCATTTGAAGAGAATGCATACTACGTTCTCGAATTTCTTGTGGATTGATCCATACATTCGTCCTTTCTTAAAGGAATCGTCCACGGAAAATTCTTGTATTTTTTCCAACATAAATACGTCAGTGTGATCACTAGATACAACTTACAAAGTTTCATGCATGAAGATTCAGTTTCCGAAAAAAACCTACGGAAACCATACTCTGGGTACGGTTGCGGGTAGCTTACGCGGGCACAAGGAAACACATGGATAAAAGTGGGCGTGGAGGCTACCACGTATGTTATTGTCATGGGTGGGAAAGGCCAAAAAGAGTGCCTAGTGACCGCACTTCGAGAACCAATGGAATCGTTCCCGTCGTCAGTATTTGTGGCAGATGTCCGGCGGTAATTTGAACGCGTAACAGTCCTTCCAGTTTTTCGAATTGTTTACCAAAACAAACGCATTTGTTTGCTGTTTTCTTTTCAACGTGAATGATAGGTCTCAAACTAGTGATTTAGTGGTGAAAAATAATAAATTCACAAACATGATTCTGCCGTGAACGATTCCTTTAATCCCTCCCAAAGCACCAAGCCAAGATATGACAAAGCGACGGTGCCGACGATTAACTTCGTTGGCATTAATTAGGGCGGTGTTTTAGTTGCCAGTTCTTTGAAGACTAAGATTTTCGCCTTCCTAACTTTCCAACACTGTCGTTAAAATGCCGGAAAAATAGTCTAAATTTGTTCACGCTTTGGAAAGGAAGAGCTCGGCACGAAGGATGGCAACTGTGTGGTCTTGTGGTAAACCTTGAAACTACAGCGCCATCAGTTGGACGGAATCTTAGATGGGATTTGATTTGTCTTCTCATAGAGTCAACTCTCAAGTCTGCCGCAGATAATGGAACTTCTGAAAACTGCTTGTTTCAATAGAGGGTGCAGGTCGGCATGATAACTTGAATTTCTCTCTTCTCACTCCATTTTATCTCCTGAGTTGCGGTTAGGAACTCTTCCCGTCCCACATATTTTCTGATTTCCTGAGTCGACAACGGTACCCGGCTTCGGCAAAGCCTTTTAATAATTGCTTTGCGATCTGAAATAAAATCACGCTTTCTTTTTAGGCAACGAACACAGTAGTACCCAATATATATCTGATTTGGCGGGCAAGACTATAGAAGCAGACCCGCTACTTGATTGCTAATGCTCTTGCTCACGTCAAGGCCAGCCCATATGGGCTTGCCACGGCGGCTCTGGCTGACGGCAGGGCCAAACTAGTACAGCACCAATCAACTTCGTTTTCTCTATTTATTCGGCCATGATTCTGCATACACGAGTAGACCTTTCCATGGACGGCAAGATGGGGCAAAAAATACTTAACATGCAACGAAAAATCCATAAATCTTGTTTTTTCATTGGCCAAAAATTAATTATAGACAGTCGGGTATTGGTTTCTCTTTACTAACGCATGTAACGCATGCGTCCACTGGTTAAAACTATTCGTCACACATTGAAGTGTTTTCCTTTCTTTGAGGCCCGGAAATCCGCAGGAAGGTGAGGCAGTCGGCGAGACAATTGGACAAAATCCCGCTTGTCCGGCGCGACCGAAATACAGAAAACGGGCGTCGTCGTGAATAGATGTGATTATTAATATGTGTCCGAATTTACGGGTGTAAGTGATATGCACGTGGACATTGTGAAATTACAATGGTTTCTTATTTCGTGAAAATCCTCATTTTTTAGCAATAATCTGTAATCCATGCCTAAGAAGAAGACAGGTCAGAGGAAAAAAGCTGAAAAACAGCGCGAGCTGCAGAAGAAAATTCGGAGTGGAGAGAGGCCTCTCGCAGAGCATCCATGCAACACACAAATGGAATGCGATGATCAATAACTCAGAGCTAAGTTCATCCTTTTCAGCAATGTGATCAATGCCTTCGTGATCAAAAAAGCCGAGCTTTCTGCTATTTCTGTGCCTCCATTTCCAAACTGCCCTCTTGTGCTCAGTGCGGTAAACAAAAATGTATGGCGAAAACAGGAGATTGTGTCATAAAACATCCAGGAAAATTCACTACAGGTCAGTTACAATCTTGTAAATTCCTTTTCCAGAAGAAAATGTTGGTGTTATATCACACACTCTACTACGTTATTCCGCGCGCAGTCGCAGGGTCCGCTGACTTTATCAATCGTCGCCACTTCGCTCTGTCTAGGGCATCTTCTGCTGTGACCTTCACTTAGGTCCTTCTTGATTAGTCCCTCCACCTCTTCTTTCGGGCACCTCGCGTTCGCTTGCCTTGCGCTTCGAAGTCCATTGCTTTCCTCATTGGGCTTCCTCTTAGCATGTGCCCATACCATCGCAGTCGTGTCCCTCACCTTCAGCTGGACAGGGGCAGTCTGCATGACCGCTCTGACATCCTCGTTCCTGACCCTATCCAGTCCAGCCGCAGGCCCACCTCAGCATCCTCATCTCAGCGGAGTGAAGCTGCCTTTCGTGATTCTTGTTCAGGGGCCAGCACTCGCTGCCGTATAGCATCGCAGGCCTTACCACTGTCCGGTACACCTTCCCTTTGAGCGCTCTGGAGCACCTTCGATCGCAGAGGATTCCAGTGGACTCCCTCCATTTCATCCATGCAGCGTTGACCCGAGCCTTCACCGCCTGATCCACACTACCGTCGGCTGCCAGATCGCTCCCAAGGTATCGGAAGTCCTCCACTCTTTCGATGGTCTCACCATGGCCGTCTACGATCGGCTCTGCACCCTCTTCGGAGCTCAGGAACTTGGTCTTCTTGACATTCAGCCGAGCCCACCTTCTGCCAGCACTTCTGCCATTTCTGCACCTTGCCCTGTAGTTCTTCTCTGCTATCCGCTATCAGGGCGATGTCGTCTGCGTAGAGGATGGTCTTTAGTGGTCCTTCTATGAGCCCCTTCACCATGACATCTAGTGTTAGGAGGAAGAGGAACGGGCTCAGAGCTGACCCTTGGTGCACCCCAACCGTGATGTCCACCTCCTTCGTTACGCCGTGTGGGGTGCGTATAGCAGCCTCAACCCTATCGTTACATGTCTCCACCATAAGAGATTCAGAGTGTTCTGCACAATTCCGTTTTCCTGAGGCGCTCTCCATAGTACTGCTCCGAGGTAGTAGTGTTCATAGAACGCCTCCCCATGTCGAAGAGGCTAGTAGCAGGGGTTCCCGGCCCTTTTCTACTTCTCCATTACTTGCCTAGCGATGAAGATGGCATCCGTTGTGGCTCTTCCAGGCATGAAGCCGTATTGTTCCTGGGAAATCGGGACCAGGGTAAACCGCAGCTTCGATCGATCCAAGCTCTCGCCGACAGCTTCATTGTGATATAAGTCGGTGTCAACTTGATCCCGCGTAGTTGAGCAGTCCATCGCGTCACCACCTGTACTGTTGAAGAGTAAGGAACGACAGAGCGTGTTTCGAGAGGCATCTGCATCTTTCGCGTCCGGCAGTGACTGTTCGGGAAGCTGTTAGCCATCTGGTCCCGTACTCTCGGAGCGCTTCCCATGCCTCAATTGGAACCCCATCTGGATGGCCGAGTGGTTAAGAGGTTAGGTTCATGTCTGCACCCCTGAGAAACCGCGAGTTCGATCCCTGCCGAGGCTTGAAACCATGCCTGCAAAAATTGCAAAAATGGTTCTAGTACCAGCGTCAGGCCCAGGTTGACAGGCCGGCTGATGAATTATCACGGCCAGTCCAATACCAACCATTGTTCTTATAAAGTTGTTGGACAGTTACCCAATCAATTAGTTGTTACTCAGCGAGCTATATCTGCGCGAAGCCAACTGTCGATATGGTAGTTAAGTGCTCTGATGTCCTTTCTATTATTGAATTCCTTATCCTTGATATGGTTTCGAAAGGACCATAAAGGCGATAGTCCGGAGGGATATGGTCTGGACTGTAAGCAAGATGCACCAGCCTATCGTATATTTGACAACGGCAACCTTTTCGGCGATGCATTGTCATAGTGCAATAGGAATGTCGATCTTTTGCTCGTAGATTCGGCGTCTTTTGGACTTCTCCTCTCCACCGGCGGGACCTTCTGAGAATTCCTGCTGCTGGTTACGTAGAGCAGTCTTTAGTCGTTTCCGCCTGTGACGACTGCGTCCTGGTGTGGACATCCAAGAAGCTGTTTACGAGCTGGTGGCATCTTTCTCTACCTTTAGGTGATATCTATTGTTCTAAGGCTAGCACCGATGCATCATTAGACGCGGAGGACGTGGGCCCGTGGTTTTCAAAAGGGATGAGAGTTTTGCACACTTTGCTCCTTTCATTACCTTCCATGGCGCTTACCCCTTTCATTACTTTTTAAGCCCAGTTTGCCACTGGAGTGGGTCGATCCAGAGAATTGTTGTATTAGTGAAGAAGGTGCGACGAATTACAAATAATGACAAATGTATGTGTATATACCCAGTTGACTGCTGGTAAAATATCCTTGGTCAACACTACGGTCAGTCACCGAGGTCAAGGATCCTAGAGTTCCGGCTCTAAAAAGTGGTTCTATAATTTGACTACGGTAGACCACACATAGATACAATGTATATTGGTACCTACAAAGACAGCCACGAATAACATCTCAAGAGAATTTTTTCCTTAGCATTATGACGACAAAAAATGTAGATAAATAGCCATGAACTTGGTTTTCAGCCAATACAGAGATCTGAGCGTTTAGGCATGGGAATGGTTGGTGCTGTTTGCGACTTTTGTGAAGCTTTCATATGTCACGGAAAGAAGTGCCTCACCACTCATGCTTGCTCCGGAATGCCGAGTGCGTGGAATGTAAGCGAGGAGTGTGGGATCATGGTGAGTCCAACCGATGCTCTCTTTCTGTTTGCATCTTATTTCTATATATGAGACGACAATGTTGAATTCTTGAAAGTTTCGGAACCCACGCAAGATTTAGTCAAGTTGCAAATTTTGCGGTTGCAGTCCCCACGTGGCTATGGTTACCAGATATGTTCCTAAATGGGCCCCACCAAAAACTCAGCGACTGCGAAAAAAGGTGAAGGTGAACAGTAGCTTAGTGACAATAGGAAGATGCCCCACCCCAATGGATGGTAAGCTTTCTCTAAACGTGTGGTGCCAATAAAAAAATAATGAATTGCCTCTTAGAAGGCCGAAATTTCAGAGAAGGTTGTTTGGGGTGAAAGATATCCAAGATATGCCCATCGCACGATAGCGAGAAGTTCCGTCCAGCCTGACAAAAAATGGAGAAGGATTAGCGTGAGGGGTGGAAGGCAAACGCTTCCGAAAGGTATTGCGCACCCCGAAGTAGATGTGGCCAGAATAAAAAATTTACAAGGTCGCAAAATGGCTCACAAGCCGGGAAAAGTGGCGAGAGACTAAGGAGTGGTAGAGCGCTCATGGTCAGCGAGACGCGCATAGAGATAGGCCGAATAAAATTCATGAATTCCGGTTGGTCCGTTCCATATCGCTGAAGCTTAGTTGATGCGTAGCCAAACTGGTAAAGTAATATTTGTACAATATCTTCCGGTTCCTTGGGACGTGTTACTATCATTTTCGATCCCAGTACAATCACGAATTCACCACGACAACAAGGATGCGGTAACTTGATGGCATAAACATTTTGCAGGTGGACGGATATACAACTGTAGTTTTTGCTTCAATTTCTTGTGCGAAGACGATCAGTTTGAGCACCAAGCGAGCTGTCAGCAAGTCCACTGCGAAAATTACAAATGTGGGTTTCTTATTTATTTATTTAGAGGCTTTTCATTAAAGTGAAAATTACGGGCAAGATCAAGTGCTTTCCTTTGGTGAAGGTTAAAATGAACGAGCTTGTGAGTTATCGTTACATATTAGTTAAGGAGAGCTGACTACTGGATTTTTAGGATGGTAAGTATTTTTTAAAACATTTGATTTTTATTAGAATGAATGAAACGCTCCCGATAATGGTCGTAGCTGATGTTGAACTTGGCATTTTTAATCCGCCGGATATCCTTCAAACAACAGCTTAATATTTAGTGTTCCAAGTAGTTGTTTAGAAGGTTAGGTGGAACGGTGGATGGGCTCAGTGGGGTCGGGGCGACTGGTTAGAGCCGCTAATAACGATGTATGTAAGGTAAGGTTAAGGTAGCTTCAAACCAAATACTCGATAAGAACCACAACACATTCCATTTTTATTTCATTTCCGTTCCATCGTTACCATCCATTCTCCATTCGACCGCTACTCTGCCTGAATGTGTGTAGAGGATGTTGAAGAGGCTGATAGTAATGATCTCTGGGCATTCTATTTCAACATCCTTAACTGCGTACGTTGCACAGGCTGCTCTAATTTTCACAGAAACGCTAATCGCTTCATTGGCGGTAGCGTGCAGGGCTAAACTGGTTAGTTAATTAAAGTATTATAGAGTTGCAGACAGAGAGCTGACCGATCGAGAGAAACCTGCGGGCTTTCGAATGGCATTAAAATCGCCAAATGTGATCACTAAAACTCGAAAAAACAACTGGTCAACATAAGCGGAGGATATATTTAGCGGTCACTTTATCCCCCCTTCGTAAAACGTTCTTGCGTGATGTCTGATAGAAACGAGATCGATATATTACATTTCCAGTTGCTACTCAAGATAGAGAAATNGTAACCGTTAGATTTCATGGAGTTCATGAGTTGTTGATGAAGTTTCTATTCTTTTCAAGAGGAATCTTCAAAAGTGACGCGATACTTACGGTTGTTTTACCATTTCATTCTGTATTATATTACACTTTCTGAAAGATTTCTGTTCAAGGCCTATCATGTAATCGTCTCGGTGCGTACACTTGCATGCGATGCAAAATCTGCTTTTGTGATGAACATGTTCGACGTAAGGGAGTGGTGATCAATAAATCACAGGAGATACCTTGCCCGAAATGTACCTGTCCCGTCAAAGAAACCAAGGATTACAGTGTTTCCGGTGAGCATAGCTTAGCTGTTGTAGTAGAATTTCAGTGTTGCGCAGATTGTAGTTCTGTCATTTCTATATTTCTTTTTTAAGTACGGCGACATGACTACGGCAGGCAACAGCGTCCGGACTATGAAACGGGTGACGATGATGATGCTGGTTACACGGGCGGCTACGTTTACAAGTAAGTGTTTTTGTCTGTTTAATATCAGAGCGACGATGTTCAACGTTCTCATGGATACTTCTCGTGCTGCGACTTCTACCACAGAACTAAATAGGGCTATTTTATAAGCTATGTTTTCATGTTACTAGAGGCTAAAAAAACAGCTGAATGTCTAAGTAAAGGTTGTTTAAGCAGGCTAACAGTCTGTGGCCGTTTGAAGGCACATTTCACAAACATTTTGAGGAAACAAGAGCCGCCTAGAGTGCCTAAAGTAAGGATTTTCTTAGGCAGTTGACTGGTTTACAGAATAATTGTAGAATCCAGGAGGCGCTACAAAGCGCTGGAGCACAATTCGAGAAGGTGGACTGTAGCAGACAAGCGTTTTCGCATCAGTGGGCATGCATGGGGTGTGCGTAGATGCAAGCAATAGTATGACCGTAGCGCCATGCGTTATGAGTCGCCAAAGTGGCACCACGGTGCCGTCTGCGGTTGAGGCCCCAGCTGCCGTGGTCACAAGTGTGCGAATGATTCCAGTGGTTTTATTCCTTTTATCGAAGTATACATGCTCTCACATGCACTAGTGCCTTCACCTTTATAAGCTGGCATCACCTACTGTTCCGATTTAGCGCGAAAATCATTCGTACAAAAAAGGCAAAAGTTTCAGGTCCTCCCTTTTGGTTTCGATCAGGATTAACTCTATGTTGCGACAAGTACCAACGGGGGGGGGGTCGTATTTGGTTTCCAAATCAATGAGTTTGAAGGAAGTTATGATCGTTTGAAGGTTGAAAAGTCGCGGTTCAGAAAAATAGTTCCGCGAACCCCCAAAAAAGTAGCAACGGGACTAATTTTTGAACTACTGACTTTTCAGGAACGTTTGGGTACTTTTTAGAAAGCTTGAATCCTGTAGTTTGTCATACCGTGTTCAGCTTCCCAAATGAATGACTTTGAACAAAGTTATGATCGTTTAAAGGTTGAAAAGTCGCATTTGCACAGAAAAAAGTAACAACGTGCTAAATTTTTATTAAATTAACTTTCGAAGAATTTTAGCCATGATTGGAGAGAGAATAATTTGAATTTTTCAAATCAAATCACTTCGGCGCAAAAGCTCGAATATGAAGGAAGTTATAGCCCTAGAAAGAGGAAGGTAAAAATTGTAGTGCAATTTTATTTTTTGCTTAATAACTTATTCATTTCAAATTGTTTGAGAACAAATGAGCTTTACTTAGAAAGGCTGAGCCTCGGTGATCCAAAATCCACCTCCATCTTCCGAAGTACCTGAAATTTAACGAAGAAAAATTCGTCTACATTTCAATATCCCCGTTCGTCACCTGTTCCCGATCAGCAAACGCGCTCCATCGTCAGGGCGCACATTCAAAACGCGATCAATGCGCACTTCCATTCCTTTGCTACCTCTAATTTTTTTATTACTGCACCTATTATTGCCCCTATCAGTTTTTAGGTCTCAGGGGGTCGTATCAAATCGCCCATGAAGGGGGGGGGGTCGTAAAAATTCCAAAAAGTACCAACGATAGGGCTGAACCTGATTTCGATACACCACTTCGCACCTTTCTTTCTTTTCCATGGGCGTTCAGTGAGCGAGCAAATTAACATACCGAGTGTCTTTAAAGTGAAAGTAGAGTGCTCAGTGTATCACTGACAACCGCTTCAGGTTTTTCTTTATGAACGAAGTGTTCAGTAAGGCTGATTTCTTAAGCAATGAGAGCGATGACGACGACGATGATGATGATTACGACGAAGGCGACGATAGCAGTGGCGATGAGAGCGACTAACTGACGAGGAGATGATGCCAGAACCCCAACAAAGCTACAATTGTTGGATAAGCACATTTCTATATTGGTCGAGATTAGTTGATTATCCAGAGGTTCACTTAGCGTTGTCTGTGTTGTGTCCTGTGATGCTTTCAAATTTTGTGCCTTTCTGATTTCTACTGATACAGAAAAACGAGAAAAATAATCATCTTTATCAGTATAAATATTGATCACTGAGGTACACGATTATTTACAGCGGAATATAAAATAATAAATGGTATAGCACGAACACTAAGCGAAATCAATCGAACGAATACAATATTGAAATAGATCACAGACTACCCCTTGCAAGAATATTAGTATAATAAAGCCTTCTTGAAAAGCACAAAGGGATCATAACAACATTCATAAAACAAAAAAAAAATCATCGTGTAAGTAACTGTGAGTTTAGAGGGATTTTCTCTTTATTTATTGCAAAAAGGAATGAAATGCTGTACCTGTCAAGAGCTACTTACTACATTGGGTAGGGGGAATTGAGCTACGAGAGCATGACTGTAAGCTGTGGCTACCTTTCCCATGTTGCTGAGCTCTTGTCAAGCACACCAAATATGCTCGTCGCCATCGAAATAATTGCTATGGACTAGAGCTTGGATTTCAAAAGTGAGATTGGTCGGTCCAAAGGATCCAGCTTAGGCGACGAGACCCGTTTTCTGAACAAGCATCCTCATTTATTATTTGGTCATATATCACCGCTTCTTAAGGCAGATGTTCTAGCCTTGAATAAACTTAAATGAAATAAACAAAAATAAAAAGAATCTGCTGAGACCTGTTCTGCAGAGAATTTGTGCACCACACGAAGCATGAATCCTATTCCGTAATCCCTCCTTCGACTTAGTAAAGATAAACAAATATCTGGACCGTTTCTTTTTTTTAAAACTCAAACAACGTAAGAGGTGGTCTGGAAAACCCCTATTCGTTGCCACTCTCGCTCTGCAAATGATTGTGGCAGACTAGATTGTGGCATGGTTAGAGAAGAACTCTCGCAAGGATGTACGTGATACACGAAGTTTCCATTGCAAATGACGTTCAATGTATTCCAAATGCTTGGACATCTTCTGTCCCCAGCTCTCCACCAATGATCGCACCTGAAATACTTCTACTTCTTTGTTAATGCAATCTTGAATATATGAGAAAAATAGGGTAGGACATATCATTTTTATTTTTGAAATGGGCATTTTTTTACTCCACCCAGGACTCTTTCCGAATCAAATTGGACCCATCTCCTATAGAAGTTTAAAGAAAAACCGAGGAAATGATCAGGTATCATTCATTGGATCTCGATAAGCCCCTTTCGATGTGCGCTACACATCCTACTTCTGTTCGAGATCGTATGGCACCGTGAATGCGATCTACTCGAAGCATGATTGACTGGTCGAGATTTGACCCCGGGGTTGAGCGCACTGCTTGCCATCGTACCACATTTGCGTCACGTAGAGTACGTAATACAGGGGGGGGGGGAAGTCACTTCGCCTATGGCGCACATCATCGATTTTCGTCGCACAGGATGCCGTGTTGATGAATGTTTTACGGCAGAATATTCCTTAGGTGTCCCCCATAAGCAGAAGCAGGCCCTCCTTCACTGCCCTCACCGTCTTCAGAATATGACGTCATCTGCCGTCACCGTCGAGCTCAACGAGGCTTACCGTAATCGCTCCGGCCTGAAGCTGCTACATAATTTCTTCAATGGATTAACTGGTGAATAGCTTCCCAGAGACACTAGCTGTGACTGGCACTAGCCGCAAACGGATCGTGCGAGTAACATCTTCTACATGATGGCGAACTACTTGGGGGACAGTGCCTGGCCGGAAGAGTGCGGTTTTGGTGACGTCATTGAAAGTCGTTGGTTTCCTAAACTGGTAGCGCGGGGTATGGTTTGGGATTAACACCTTTCAGCCAAAAACGTCCAGTGGAGACATAAAAATCGCAACGCCCTCCAGCCATCGTGGTCGCTGCCTTGCAGACAGGTTTCGATTCCTTCGCAAGAGCCACGTTTGTGAAAAACCCATTTGCTCCACGCCATACATGCACACCTCTTCAATGATTAAAGGCCCAGCTCGCGATAAAGTTGGCGTGGCTCTCGCACGGAAAAGAGAAGGGAGCGAAGTGGACCGGAAACAAAAAGGGAAAAGTGTCCATGAAAAGCGCTAAAGTCGAGTGTGTACTCGATTCTTAATTCGGCTGTAATAAGACAATAGGAAGTGCGAAGTGGCAATAAGAAGTAGAAAAGAGAAAAGGAGGGAGATCGGAATACTGAGAGCACGCAGGCACAGGGTCAACCGTCCGTTGGACAAAGTCCAACGCATGGCTTTCTAGCGTGTGAGTGT